CTGTAGTTGCTGAGAGTTAATATATCAGCCATGAGGTCTTTTGGAGAGCAAGGAGAAAGACAATGTACAGATAGGTTTTTATATGCATTTGTATCCTACTGTGTCTCGTAATAGCCCTGAACTTCCTGTGGCAGCTGGTGTGGCAAACCAGGACTTCCAGAGAACCCAACTGGGACCAGTCCCTTTGAGAAACATGTTGGTTGACTTCATACTTGTTGAAACATTCCCTATGACTAAAACTAATTGTTTGTTTCTTGACTTCAAGCCCAGTGGTTTTATGTTTTAAATTTTTTTTAAATAAGTTTATAGTCTCTTATTCATGATTCGTAAATACTAGTGATAAAGGACTTGCAAGTGGAACAACACTTCCTTTAAAACTACTGCTCTTAATGAGCAGGAAAAATAAGTCCCTTCACTGAAAGTATGTATCTATAACAAGACCTGCAAGTTATTAGTGTAATTCCCTATCCCAGGGGCACTGTGCAAAACGGGATCACCTCAGATAGCAAAGTTCTGCTCCAGGGGGTTTTATTAGCATGAGTAATCTTGTTAACTCTAAATGACCCCATGCACACGTGAGCACTGGAGGAGGCTGAATCAAAGCATCCATGTGTCAGGGTGGTGTTAGAAGTGGATTGCTGAGCTCCCTGGTTGGCAAAGAAAAATTCTTGCAGTTCTTTGTAGAAGTTTTGGGTAGTGAAGAGCTGTGATTGCATCCTAACATTCTGTTAAATGTTAATAAAATGGTGTCATCGACTTGAACGTCCTGGGAAGTTCTTTCTTTGAAAAGCAGAGCAAAAAAAGTAGTGCTAGGGGGAGCTAGTGTATGAGTCTCAGCTCCTACCTGGATGATGAGGCACCTTCTATGCTGATGTTCTGACTACATTGTCCAGCTTTCCAAGCAGACTGTTCCTGAACCTGGTCCCACTGTCATGTGTTCCCAGGGAATGCTATCCTGATAATCTGCAGAGCATTTTCAAATGCTCAAAACCATTTTTCTTTGTTTCTGAAGGTCATTGAGTACCTTCCATTTCTAATATGTATGAATTGGATCATTTTGCATCTTAAAAATGTGAAGAAAGGCCACGAGAGGACTCGCCGCTTCTAGACCAAAGTGAAATCTTTTGGAATCTCAGAATTGGTGATTAATTTAAGCAAACAAGGGCTGTAGTACAGTTGATTTTTGTATGTACTGTCAGAAAACTTGTAGCTTGATATTATATACCAGATATGTGCATCTGATAGGTTTAAGCATTAAAATAAGTGGAGGTGCTAATATGCTAGGAAAACACATGTTGCTTTCAGTGACATAATGTTAGCTGGAAAAGTAATTCTTAACAGTCAAAGAAATGACAATGAAAACCTTAAAATACGGAGATTCCAGAGTCAGTAAAAAGCTGAAGTAGCTGCTTCTGCAAAGTAGTGGTCTGTTCATGCTGGGTTGTGGTCTGCAGGGGAGGGAATTAGCTGTGGAAGCACTGGGGGAAGTGTTTGTGCGTGGCCTTGCTAGCCATGGGTAGCAGCTAAAGGGAAGGAAAAAACCTCCTACTTCTTAAAAACAAACAAAAAAAAAAACCAAAATCAAACAAAACACCCCAAAATCAAACAAAACAATATAAGTTTGTATGAGGACTGTGGTGGAACTTGAGTGTGTGCCTACTTTGAGCTCAAAAGGTTTATTCTTTTGGACATGTTTTATCAGCTGCATTTATCTGAGAATTTCCTTCTTAATGTTGTCTTCCAGATTTTTGGAGATTTTGCAAAGGCTGAAATGAAGAAAAGGGGACTCTGTGCATTTGTCATTCTTGGAAAAAGAATCCTGGTATAAAATTATTCCCCCAAAAATACTCATATGAAAATGAATGCATGATCTATGTCATTTTGTTCCTCCTATGAGTGGAATCTGCTGCTGTTCCACCCTGTTTCCTGTAGTTTGTTTTTCTGCTTGAAGTGGAAAACTTTATCCTTGTTTTGGGAAGCACCATGATGTAGTTAGGAACTAAAATTAACATTATATATTTCTGTAGATGTTTGAAAGGGGCCTATAGCATCATGAGATGCGATAGAAGCTGTTTTACAGGGCACACACTTGACCTTCAGGGGATTGAAATGGAGATGCTCATAAGGTGTGGAAGCCATGGTTCTGATGGTGCTTGAGCAAAGGATGTTGGGCAGGTTGCCAGTTGTTGGTGAACTTGACAAAGAAAGAAATAACTCATCTGATAGGGTGCTCATCAGCAGTTGCCCAATTTGAGTGCACACCATAACTGTCATCTTATGGCTGTAAGTTTTAGATCCATGGGACATTTGGAAATGTGGGTGGTTTAGTTCTGAATGGCACTTCCAGTTATGTTTTGTTGCTGCCTTTATATTCAGGTCAAGGTCTTTTCTGTTTTATTAACAGAGCACCAGGAAGTCATAACTGATAGCAAGAGGATTTTGGTGCAAATACGTAGCAAAAGCCCTTTTTAAAGGGAAGGGTTGCTTATGATTGAAGAAATTTTGCTTTTGTTTAAACTGTTGGGGGGGAAAAAAACCCTTATTTGTTACAGCAATGAGAGTTTTCACTCTTGCTTCAGGCACTTCTGTGCTGGGCAGGTCCCAGGTTGCCTGGTGCATTTCCCATAACTGAATTTTTAAGTAACTAGTGATTTTTTGCTTTCCTCTGCCTGTCACACTACTGAGAAACAGACATTGCCATATAGATGTGTCCAGTGTAACCCTGCTTTCCCAACCACAGCTGGAATGCTTGTAGGCCTTTTAAAAAAAAAAACAATTTTCTTTCTGGATTTCTTAATACGTTCTGAAATTTTCATTAGCAAATTTTTTTTCCTAGGAGAATCTTTTAAACATTCTTCTTAGTATCATTTCTGGTGCTGAATTTGCTCTCAAGAATTCATCCGTTTTTTCTAGCCCCTTGAGAGTATTTCAGAAATGGGGAACAAGCAGTTTTTCCTCCAAGGTAGGGATTTTGCACTAGTAATTGTTGATTGAGAGCTTTAATTTCTAAGTAGGCAGGTTGAGGCATCTCCAAACAGCCTTATCCAGACAAAATGCTGATCTCACAAACTCTGAAAATCTTGAGTCACTTGTCACTTCCGTAAGTCATTGTCAGTGTGATTAATGCTCTTTTCATTTGAGGTCTTCAGAACATGTGAAGTATCAAGTGCTGCTTTTTTTGAAGGATGAAGAGTAGAAATTGGGTTCTAGTAGAAATTTTCTTAATGTGTTAGTAAAGTAGTTTGGAAACTGAAACTTGCTTACACTGACCATACCTTGAACTTGAGTGTTTTCTACTAATGGCATTCAGTGCCCATAATGTTCTGCCATGGTTTAAACCATCTTTATTTCACTTCTTTCAGGTCTAGAAGAGAGTTGTAATGTTAAGAATGTGTCCTTGCCAGTTTAGCTCAAAGTGGTGTGATTTCTGTCTTAGGCTGTCCCATGCCCGAATTGCATCTCTGGTGCTGTAACAGGGTCAGTGTTTGTACCCACGACACCACGGGCACCGAGGAGTGGGTGGGGTGAGATGGAGCAGTTGGTGACTGCCTCCAAATCAACAGGACTCCAGATACTCGTGATGCATTTCCCATCCTAAATTTTTCTGATAATTGTTACTGGAGAATAATAGTCCTGCTGAGGTTTGCTGAGTGTATGGCCTCGCTATATATGTCTGTTCTAATTGGAGAATTAGGGCAGAATAATTGCAGAATTATTACTTCAGGCTTAACATTAAGTATTGACATTTAGTTTCTCATTTTAAATACTAATTTATCCTTGAATATTAGAGCTGCTGAGACTTTAAGGCAGAGAAGTTCATTTGACTAGAGATGGATGACTTACTTTCTTCGTCAGATTGTTTTTATTGTTCTAAAGCCAGATGGATTTTTTTCACTTGGCTGATGAAGGCCAGACCTGAAATACTGCATTCTTTGCCCCTGTCTGCAGGCATGTAGTAAATACAGCACCTTTGGGTGAGGCCAATCAGCTGGGAATGAATAATCATTTAATTCATCTGGCTCTTGTCATTTGCTTATGCTTGAGATTTTTTTTTTTTAGAACTAAACATCATAGAGCCTTTTTCTGGAGCTCTTCAAATAGCTTTTTAACAGCTCAGTAGTTGAGCACAGCAGACAAAAATATCTTTTTGGTAATGTTAGCTACTAGCAGCAAGACTTCTGCTCATGTATTTTCTCCTAATAAATGAGAAGATGTGTTAGCTTGCTTGTCATTAATTCAGATTTTGGCAACATAACTATTGCAGTATGCTTGGAAGCATCTATGGATGTGGCTACATGATAATCTTTTCTGTGAGGCAGGTTGATCCAAGCTCTGAGTGTTTTTTCTCCATGGAGAGGTTGGCTGTGGCTGCTTGAGGGTGTTGCTACACCTGTAGGGACGGGTGACTGCAGTGAATTGCACCCTTAACTGAGCAGTCTAAACCTGATTTCAGCTGATGGGTCTAACTGGTTGCCCTCCTTTTTCATCTTTTCATTGCTCATTGTCTCCCTGGTGGAATCCAACAACGTTTGACTTATTAATGCCTAGAACTTTCTTTGAAGTCTTGTATGTCATCAGGTATAATCTACTGAGCTAAATCATAGACTCAGCTTTGTGAGCTTTGTCCTTTTTATAAGAAATCTGAAAAGTATGGTCTGAAAGCAAACTTCCATGCTCTTCCTATGCCCCAGCAAGCTTAAGAGTCTTTATAAAAGTCAAAGAACTTGACATTTCACCACTTTTCCTGTTTTCCTATCTTACAGTGATTTATAGTAAGCCTGAGAGCTACAGAACACAGGACTTGCAGGAGGAGACACCAATGGCATTCCCAGCCAGTGCTCCTTTTCACTGCATCTTCAAATGCCACCTGGATAGTCCCTGCTCTTTTCTAGATGTATTAGAATAAGATAGAAAAACTACACCCCCTTTTCTAAACACTGGTGTTTGTTTTCCTTTGCAGAATAGGGGAGCGCAGAGTGTGGCGGGACGGGAGCACAGGCCAATGCTGCTGCAAGGAACGTGAGGCACAGAGCATGAGTTGTGCCACAGTTACCCAGGTATGCTGCAGCACCGTCCTCGGGGCACCTCCAGCCAACCACAGGTTCTCATGCTTCTGGCTCCATTACTTGTCATCCTGAGCCAAGGAGACTTGTCTCAGCCCAGGACCAAAATTATGCCCTGCTTTGGTCGTTCCATCTGGATGGCACTTGCTGTCTGAAACCTTCTTAAAGCCTTTTATGTGTTTTTTCGTTTTAGTTTTATCCAGTTGCTCCATTTCAGCTGGTCTCTCTTTTAAATGTTCCACTGGTTTATATCATGAGGTAGGCTGGGTATTTTGGTGTATGTTTTCAGAAGTCTTTGTCTTTTATGCACAGAGATGTGGTCTCAATAAACAAAGTGCTGAACTCTACATGTCTGGAAGTAGTTCTGAGACTTGCTCCAGGCTGTTAGAAGCTGCTCCAATGGACTCACCTGCAGATAATCTGCTGGTTTCAGACACCAGAAGCAGATGGATGGAGGCATCTGTCATTGCTCTGCACACCAGTGTCTAATAAACCAATGTGACTTTTATTTTCAGGATGTTTTAATAGGAAATTTGAAACTTTCTGATGCTGCTTTTTCTTTCCTTCCATAAATGACATTTTAAGGATGAATATTTAAAATCTTTATTTCAGTGCAGCTCAGTTCTGTGCTGTCTAATTATATGCTTAGGCTAAAGAAAGATGTTGAGGAAGTAAAAATCTGCCTAAGTGGTGGAGTATAGGATTTTTCAAAAGCAATTCTGTGACCTGGGAGCCATCACACTCCAACAGCACTAGCTGTCTTATAGCTCTGGAAAACAAATAAGTAAATTAAAAAAAAAAATCATGTGATTATGAAGTGTTTCTGTGGAATAGAAGCTGACTTTTCTGCTAGCACCAGCTGGCGAGTAGGAGTAGAGAAACAAGGCAAACAAACAGCAGAGAAAGGTAGGAGGAACAATGGTGTTAGTCTAAAAACTGACACATTAGGAGACCAGCATGAAGAATAACAAACTCCTGTCACAGGATGTTTGGCATAGCAACAGGACTGTTGTCTTCAAGTGGATTTTAGTGTAACTGCAGCACTTGCTTCCTGTATGAGATAAAGAGCTGTTGTACTCTGAATGCATTTTAATCTCTATATCTAAATCACACTACTAATAAGAATTAGCTGAAGGAAGTGATAGTGAAGTCTATTGCTCCTGAAAGTGTTTCCTCTTTTTTTTTTTTTTTTTTTTTGTCAGAGAGAGAACAGAATTATGTGTCAGGGAAACAGATTAAAGATGAACTTTTCCACCAGGTGCTGAATGCTGGCTACAAACTACGTTGTCGATGAAGGAAGAAATTGATTGGGAATTAAAAGCACAAACTAGTTAATAATACTCCACCATGCGCAAAGGGGTGCCAAAGGACCCAGAAATAGCTGACCTGTTCTACAAAGATGATCCTGAAGAAATATTTGTGGGTTTACACGAAATCGGACATGGAAGTTTTGGAGCAGTTTACTTTGTAAGTACAGTTCTTCACCTCCTTTTTGGGAAACAGAAGCATTTCAAGTGACATTGGTAGAGATCTGCAGCATTTGTGAAAGGGAGCATCCTCTGAGCTCTTAGTGCTTTGTGTGTATTAGCTTTCTCATAACACATCTCAAAAATAAACATTTCCAGAGTGCTCCTGAGCTCTTTACTGTTACAGCTGTATTTATAGTAGCAGTTGACTGTGTTCTTCATAGTGCACCCAAACATTCAGGCTATGTACATGGTATCTTGTGCTGTCTGATGCTGGAAGTTGAATTTAAACAGTTGGAAGTTAATTTGCCAAACTGGAATTTCAAGATATTCTACTTGGTGCTCGTATGCTTGTAAAACAGTGCAAATTAATAGATTTAGTGACTTAACAATTCAAAATGTGTTTGAAGTTAAAAGCTGCTTCTGTTAATGAACTGGTATTGTGGCTGCTTTGGGAAAGATACTGTGGAAGTCACATCAAATTCTATCCAGGCTTTTGAATGATTTCTCTGTTGCTCTGATAATTTAGGAGATAACTTTGAACTACCATTTTGTTTTGGCACCCTCCTTCTTCCCATGTTTACCTCAGAATGTACTATCCTCAGCAACAAATGCCTACATGGCAAAAGCAAAGGAAAAGTTCTAAGAGGAATGAGAATTCAAACAGGAAGAGTGTATTGTGTTAATCGATACAGTCAAGAGAATTTCATCTGAGAAGTGAGAAGAAAAGTAGTTTTTATGATTAGTATCAAAGCCAAATCCAAAATACTGAATTTGGAAATAATTATAATCCAGTCACGAGCAATGAAACAGAAATAGAATTCAGCATGAAAAAATCAAAGACAAACTAAAGCTGCTGGGTAGCATGGCCTGCCACTCAGATCAGGTTCACTAGATTTGGGATCTCTGAATATCAGATCTGGAAGTGTTTAGATAAGTACCCTGAGACCTGTAACTCCAGCACCTGGCAGTAGCTAGTGTGAGTTATTTGCCGACACTCGTGTGTTCCTAGCTGGGTGCAGTGCTGGAGGTGTTGGTGGAACTGTTGTCAGAATGGGACAGAAGTGTAATGTTGAATGTACTGCATGTGTAAGAGGATGAGGCTGTAAAACTTACAGTGTGTGTTGATCCACTCTATAAGAAGAGGAAGCATATTTCTAGATGGGAATAGGGTGGTGCTACCCAGTGGTTTTTTTTTTTAAAACCAGAGGGAGAGGCTGTGTGGTATCCTTCTAGGGTAAAGGTGACGTAGTGAAAGTGTCACATTGATCATTCAGCCCCAGAGTTCAAAGTTCCTCATACTTCCAGGGGGAGAGTGTGAGGAGTGTTAGAGATCCAATCCACCAAGCAGGCTTAGAGCTGGGATGTCACTACGATTAGGTGAAAGCCTTGTGATTCCCCATGCTTCTCTTCCTCTTTTCCCTGGATGCTTTAATGTCCTGATTTGAGTTAGAACTGAACAAATTCTGTTCAGTGATTGTACTTTTCAGCTAAATCTCTTTTAAGTGACTGCACTTTTGGAAGTTAATGGCATATTAACTGGTTTGTGCTTTAAGAATCCTGGGGAGTTTAGCCAGACTCAGCTATATCCTGGCAGCAGCCACATCCTCCAAGCCCAGTGGTGACTGCAGTCATGCCTGTAGTAATATTACTGTAGTAATGTGGTAATTAGATGCTTCACCACTTTCCCATGCTACATCTGCACCTCTCTGCCACTGTTTGACACTTAAGCTTTCCTTCCTGTTGCTTGAAACTCTTGGCATTGAGTCAGTTCTTTCTGGAGCCTTTGCCCTGTCCTGCTCTGTATGTGAAGTCACAAGAAGGCACTTGCCTGCATGCAGTTTTCAGTGCACAGTAGCCCAGGATCCCTCCATTCACCCACAGCAGGTTTCTAGCTGTTCCCTGCTGTGTGTGGCTCATGCTGGAGCTTCTCCCTGCCACGCAGGGGATGCTGTGTGTCTTTGGCTTTTCTTCTTAAAGCTTTTGTTACCTTTCTTACACCTTGATTCTTATGTGTCTTGGGGTAAGGCAGGGGCCAAGAATAAGATCTTGGATCATTATGGTAAGATTCCAGGGATCTGGCTGTGCTTGGTTTCAAAAGATGAGAACAGATCAAAGAACTTGGGAGGGACAGTGCTTTCTTAGTCTTCCAAGAGAATGTAGAAGAGGCTTTGGATAAATAAAAGGGCAGGGCATGGATTGTTATGCTGCTGCTGCATCTCTTTGACCTTTTTATTTAAATTGGTACTGACACTACTGCAAACAACAAATATCTACATCTGTATTTTGTTGTTGTTATGGATTAACATGATTATTGTAGTATAAACTTCCGTTTAAGCTTAGTTTTTGCAAGATGTTTTGTTTTCCAGGATACTATTGCTGAGGCACGGCAAGATAATTCAAAATTTCTTTTCTTGCTTGAAGTAAATGATACTTATCAGAAGGCTAAGGAAAAATACATCACTTCTTCCAAGAGTTTAAAGTTGATGCCAACTAGACTTGAAATCAACAAAGCTGATTTTGCACTTGACTTCAGCAGAATAATTTTCAGCAAAAACAACCTACTTGTATCCATGTTAGAAATATGGAAAAGTGATAAAGCAGATGAGGGCAGCGTAGTGGAGGTTTTGCAAGCAAAACATGCTTGTTTTCTGCCAAGCTTTTCACTAAATATCTGCAGATAGAACCCAAACCACTTCAGCAAGTGGATATTTCTGTCAATGGGGCTTGTACAGCCCTTTAAGTTATTTCAGCCAGGAGGATCCCAGTGCTTGGTACAGCAAGAGCTTCACACACAACTGTGAGAACATGGCAGTGTGCCATGGGGCAACAAATTCTGACTGGAATGAGAGATAACTTGTGCACATGAAGATATTTGGAATTAATGTAACAGAAAGCAACACTTGGAAGTTTCTTTAGAACACCAACATTAATTCATTGGAGTAAAATACTCTTGATCTTTTATGTGCTGAATCAGGATGGTAAAGTGGGGAGGAAGGGTTTTGCCTTATCCAAAAGTTACTTTTTCAGCTTTCTCCAACTCAAATTTGAGGACTGTGAAGCTGTGAAGAGTCAAAAGGGTTGTCAGCTCCCTTTAGTAATTCCTGTGGTATATTGGTTCATCCAAAATCATCTTTCTTTGAAGTTGCTGTATGCATCATGAAATGTCTTTCATTAATACGTTACTTGAAAGTATAGTACTCATCCTCTCAAGCAGCTGAAAGGAGGATTTGCCACATTTAGCTTCTATTGTATTCTAAGCTTTTAACTGTCACTGATTTTTTTTTTTTTTTTTGTCCCCAAAATGGTAAATGGTTGGAGGTATGGGGATTTCAACAACTCTTTTAAGTCTAAAACCTTCACGTTTTCTCTCCTTAACGTGCAGAAATGAGGACAGTGCCAATCCAGGCAGGTAGAGCTCTTCCTAAAACTGGATTTTCAGCCTCTGGTCGCCATCCTACAGAAATGCAGAATTTTGATGACTGAGTAATATTCATTGTAAAACTGAGATCAGGTGCAGTGGAAGGAAAGTTGTATTTTTAAATTGAGAGAAATTCCAGAATGAAGGATCTTCTTGAAACTGGAAACTGAAACAGCTGTTTAAGAATATCAGCATCATAGGAGTGTTTTGGATGAAATTATAGAGATTCATAGATCTCTTAGTGTTTCTTTGGAAAATATTTTTCCAATGGTTTAACTAAAACTGGTTTTACTGCAATTCCAGTAAAACTGTATTTTGCATGTTCTCAATAGGTGCAATATTGGACTTCAGTTTGCATGTCAGTGCAAGTGCATTAAGTGCAGTGGGAGGGATAGTGGGTATGGGCAGATAAAGTCAGGAAAAAGTGGCATGACAATTGTCTAGCAAATCTTATCATAAAGAAGAGTTCTCTGAAGTGTAGGAGCTTGCAAGGATGTCATGCAGGAGAAAAAGCCTTGCATTTGCCAAAGGAACAGCTCACTCCATGGGGAGGAGAATAAAAAAGACAGTTTTTTTTTAATCTGTTTCTCTCTCCTTACTCCAGGCTACAAATTCCCACACTAATGAGGTGGTGGCAGTCAAGAAAATGTCCTATAGTGGAAAGCAAACAAACGAGGTAAGATGAATAAAGCCAGTTCTGCATGCAGGAGCTGCTGCAACCCCAATGTGAATCTGAACAGTGAAATTAGCTGCATCTGTCATTTGGCCCCAGCAGACCAGCTGCTAATGGGGTACCTGTTGCTCACTTCCATAAGAAGCATGGACAATTGCAGAGGGAGAAATATGAATTTATGCCAATTTTGACAAATAGTTCAGTATAAAGAAGAGACTGGGAACTCTGGCTGTGTGGTGGTGATGTCAGGAATTATTCCAGCAGTAAGTGCATTAAGAGTGCACTTGTACTGGAGCTGTAACCACAACCCTCTGAGGTGTTGACTGAGGGGTACAGCTGCCTTGAAACACTTTTGAGGATCTACAATCTCAAGCTGCATAGACCTTGTATTCAGAGCATCAGCCTCACTTCAGTTGTTGCTTTTTAGTCGCTTCTCTTATTTTTGTGGTGCAGTGCTTTGAACTTGGGTTGGCTGTTTGTTTGGGAGTGTGTGTTGACATGCAGTGGAGAATGTCTCAGAACAGACAGGGATGTTTTAAACTTGTATTCCTTGCTTACCTGTTGGTCTCCAACACGTCCTGAGGTCTTCCAGATCTCAGTGGCTTTGTGCTGTGTTACAAAAGGAGACAAATAACTGCTGCTATCTCTAGCACCTATTATAGGTGGTGGGTCGTGTCCTGGGGCAGGAGGGTTTGCTGCTAAATTTTTGAGACCATTGGACAGTTTAATATGCAAAATAGTAGCAATGCTTTAGAATATATTGCAGTTAAAATGAGAAGGGGGGGGAATTGCAGTCATCAGGCTGCTTAAATGTGTCTTGGGGGGAGGTATCTCAATGCAATAGATATCCAGACAACTGATGTAAACTGACAACTGACAATATAAACAGTTTTGTGGTTGCTTTTCAGGCTGTGCTACAATGTGTGGTGCATGAGGATGTAGGAGATTAAGCAGAGAAATGTATTTATACCTTTGTGCTTTTTTTTAATTAGAAATGGCAAGATATCATCAAAGAAGTTAAGTTTCTACAACAGCTGAAGCACCCCAACACGATAGAATATAAGGGCTGTTACCTGAAGGAGCATACAGCATGGGTGAGTGGTGTGGCATTCGGAGGGCTCCATGAGTAGAAAATGTCCAGGACAGCAAATAGTACACAGAGCAGTGTCTTTTCACACAGCAGTGTTCATCTCGTGCTGCCTCTAGTCCCTTTCATCTGAAGAAGCTTCCAGGTATTTTCAAGGGGGATGATATGTAGGATATTGGAACAAACCCCTGCTTCTGTGAGGCAGACCTCTGTGTTCAGCAGATTATTGTGTGGAGGTACTGCAGAGGATGTTCCATAAACTTCCCAGTGCCTAAACCTTCTTTACCACAGCAAAAAAGTCTCTTGACATTGCTGGAAAGTTTGGAGCACTTTTTGTTCATTGTTCAGTGCATTTCTTGCCACTTCAGGGGCTTTATTCTCTTGCTGTTTCTCAGCCATTCAAGTAGTAAACTTGTGGGGGGTGTCTACCCTATTATTTAAAAACATACTTTTTTTTCTTGCAGTTGGTTATGGAGTACTGTTTAGGATCAGCTTCTGATTTGCTAGAGGGTAAGTTTTACATAGGCTTTGATTTTTTTTGCTAGTTCCCCTTCTGAATATGATGGGAGGCTGTTTCCTCACAGACCGGTGTTTTGCAGATGATAGAGACAGTCTGTCTGTACTGCTATGTTCTACAGCTAGAATGCCTGTGCTTGTAAGCTGAGGCTTGACCAGGAGGCTAGTGCTACAGGTAGTTGGCATACCTTTGTTTTACAATATATAAACATACATATATATAGTTATTTTCCTGATTTGTGCCACCTTGCTGACAGAAGCAGACTGCCTGTTTCCTGATTATCCATGACAAAAACCTGCAGAGATTGCCTTTGACCTTGCCTTGCAGTTTGTAGGAGTAATTACAGATGGTTTTATAGAACAAGAGACTGATCTGACCTCAAAACTAGAGCAGCAGCACCTGCAGAGGAACAGGGAATCTAAGCCAAAGTTTGCAAAAACTAGTACTCTTTGTGGGCTCCATCTTTTGTGTGTAACACTGGCAGCCAAAGGCATGTGCTGAGCATATTTAGGGATGTATAGAAGGTGCTTTGAGACATCTGTTTGTAGCTGGTATTCCTCACTTTCCTGGGGTGTTTTTGTTTTTTTTTTTTTTTGTACTATTGGGGAGGGGAAAAAGTGGGAAGTTTTCTTTGCTAAGGACAAAGTGAGAATTGCAAATACACTTGGCAAGCTGCACTCAGGTACATCACCTGGTGTTAACAGTTACTGTTGGCCCTAGCAGGAACATGAAGGAAAATGTGGTTTCCCACAATGTGGAATATGTGCAGAGGCTGTGCATAGACCCAGAGCTGCTACTGGCCATCAGGTCATGGGAAGTGACTGCAGTGAAGATATTTACCTCATAGATGACAAAACTTCGGGACTTCCTTCTCTTTAAAAACACTTCCTCAGGAGAAAACCACACTTACATTCATATGGTTTTTTTCTTGAATTTTTTTCCACAGTTCACAAGAAACCACTTCAAGAAGTGGAGATTGCTGCCATCACCCACGGTGCCTTGCAGGGGCTGGCCTACCTGCACTCTCACTGTAAGATTCATAGGTAAGGCCGGAGCTCAGTGCTGCTAGATCCCCTTCCATCCTCTGGGGTGTGAAAATTATCATAGAATCAAAATTATTTTTCTTGGAAGAGACCTTTAAGATCATCAAGAGCAACCATCCCCCCCGCACTGCCAGATCACCACTGACCCATGTCCCTCAGCACCACATCTCCACGGCTTGGAAACCCCTCCAGGGATGGGGACTCCACCACTGCCCTGGGCATCTGGGACAGGCCTGGACAACCCTTTTGGGGAAGAATTTTTTTCCTTGTGTCCAATCTCAACTTCCCCTGGTACATTTTGAGGCCGTTTCCTCTTGTCTTCTTGCTTGTTCATTGGAAGAAGAGACTGACCCCCAGACTGTTCCAACCTCCTGTCAGGGAGCTGTGGAGAGCCAGAAGGTCTCCCCTGAGCCTCCTTTGCTTCAGGCTCAGCACCCCCAGGTCCATCAGCTGCTCCTCACAAGATGTGAGCTCTAGACCCTTCCCCAGCTTCATTGCCTTTCTCTGGCCACGCTCAAGCCCCTCAAGGTCCTTTTTGGAGTGAGGGGCTGCTCATTGCTTCATTGTATTTAAGCAACTTGGATAAAGGTTATTCAGTCAAAAATTTCTCTGATGCACTTGTCAGTACTCCTGATGCCAGGGTAGATATGTAAATAAAAGCTGGTGGTTGGTAAGGAGTGTGTTTTGTTGCTGTTGAAATAATTTCACGTGGCTATATCCTGTGTTGAATTCTGTTCCATATTAGCAATTTTTCTCTTTTCTGGTAGCAAAGTATGCACCTGCATGTTGGCAGTAAACACTGACAGGAAAATATCACCCTGAAAATATTCCAAATAAAGTGGAATGATAGAGCCTAGGCTATTTTAGAGGTAGTGTGAGGATTTTTTACGTATGTGTAAGTAAAAATGTTAGTTGATGAAAATGTAAGTCAAGGGTGAAACTACTTCAGGAGAATCAGAGTGTACAGGGAGAGGGAGATTTGTTAACAGGCTGCTTGTGGATGCTGCTCCTACATCTGTCTTTCATAATGTGGCATTTTTCAGAAGTTTGGATTTTTAAACTCATTTTTTCAATAATGATGCATGTTCTCTTTTTTTTAGTTTTTTTGTCTAATTTTTGGTGCTGCTTATATGTCAGGGACTTGTGAAATGGGTGAGAACTAGATTAGTGTAATGAGTAGGGAATTCTCAGAATAAGGCAACTTGAAATTAATTTATGGGGCTAAAAGCCTCTTTGTAGTTGTCTGGCAAGGTTGAGACAGAAACTTGGTATATCTGAGGCTGAGACGGTGAAGGATTTTTACAGACACAGGAATTACTCATTACTTTGTATAATAGTATTTGGGGCATATCTAGACATGGTCATTAAATATTTAAGTGACGTTAATTCAAAGATGAATGACAGTTTTTGAAATTAAGGTTATTTTTGATCACCCCTTTGTATATATGCCCCTGTTTGAGCACAGAAATACCTGTCCTGAAATATTGTGCATACTTTCCAAGTGCATTGAATTCTTAGATCAAATGACTCCCTGTGTGGATGCTATTGAGAGTTAGTTTTTCTCATTAGGACATTGTAACATGGTGCAATTGGCACGTTGTAAATTCCGTGGTCCCATATAGTGAATGCCAGCTCCTCTGTGTGAACTTTCTACTAGGATGCTTATTGCTGGTTATTTCTCTTTCCCACTGGGAGAAGTGACTTTGCTGTTGCAGCATGTCACAAGGAGAGGTTCCTGCTACAAGTACCACATACCTCTTTCCTACCTTGCTGGTTTTCTTCCAGGGGTATTCTGCATGTAACTTCTGAGCTGGGAAGGCAAGTCCTCCCTCTTTTCCAAGAGGGCCATCAGGAGATTTCCAGCTTTCTGATAGATGCTGTATTTTAAAAAGAAGAGCTCAACAAGTTCACCATGAATCAGCAGTGTGCTCTTGTAGCCAGGAAGGCCAGTGGTGTCCTGGGGTGCATTCAGTACAGTGTGGCCAGCAGGTCGAGGGAGGTTCTCCTCCCATCCCACTCTGCCCTAGTGAGGACACCTCTGGAGTCCTGTGTCCAGTTCTGGGATCCCCAGTTCAAGAGAGACAAGGAACTACTGGAGAGAGTCCAGTGAAGGCTCTAAAGCTGCTGAGGGGCTGGAGCATCTCTGTGCTGAGGAAGGGCTGAGAGCCCTGGGGCTGGTCAGCTGGAGAAGAGAAGCCTCAGAGGGGATCTGATCAATGCTCATTAATATCTAACAGGCAGGTGTCAAGAGGCTGGGCCCAGATGCTTTTCAGTGGTGCCCAGTGACAGAACAAGGGGCAATAGGCACAAACTGGAACCCGGGAAGTTCTGCTTAAACATATGGAAAAACTTCTTTGGTGTGAGGGTGGCAGAGCCTGGAGCAGCTGCCCAGAGAGGCTGTGGAGTCTCCTCTGGAGAGATCCCAAACCCACCTGGCTGTGACCCTGGGCACCCTGCTGTGGGTGAGCTGCTGGAGCAGGGGGGGTTGGATGAGGTGATCTCCAGAGGTCCCTTCCCCCCCCTGCCAGTGGATTTCTGTGAAGAGTGCTGGTTCCAGCTTTGCTGCTCAGCCATGAGGAGTGCTGTGCTGACGGGCAGGGCTCGGGGGGACCCCACACTGGGAGGAAGCACCCCACTCCCCTCTGCTGGGGCGAGTCCCAGCAGCACTCGGAAAAGGCAAACCAGCCGAGAAGGGGCCCGAGGCAGGAGGTGGAGAGCTTTGCTCTGCTCGCCCCGCGGCAGCAAGGCGAAGGAGCGTGGCCGGGCATGCAGGGACCCCTGCTGGAGATGCACCCGCAGAGCAAGCCTCAGCTCTGGCCCCCGGAGCTCCCCGGCATCCCCGCCAGCTGCTTCTGGCTGGTGCCGTGGGACGGCAGAGGATGAGATTATTTTCTGTTTAATTGCAGGCACAGCGTGAACCGAAGTTAGGAAATAACATCTGCTGGTACCTAACGTGGCCACTGAGTCCTCTGTTGATTGTGATCAGTGGAGGTGGTGGTGGAGATGACAGCACAGCCTGTGCTGTCTCTCTTGTACTTTTGAGCTGTTCATTCTTGCACATACAAGATATCTTTAGCACTCGTCCATCCAGCAGAAGTGACAGATGTGTAGACTCAAAACATGAAGACATGTTAGGATGGTTTGAGTCGCATGTGTGCAAAAAATTGCCAGACTAGTAGCTTCAAAGTGATAGTGTCCAGGGAATAGGGGCATAGAGGTTCTTTCTCTGGCCCTGCTGTGAAATGCTGTAAGTAAACTCCTGTCTGTGTGGCTTTCTTCACTCCAGCTTTGACAGCCCTGTGGAGATGAAGTTTGTAGCACCTGAGATTTAAACGGTGTCTCAGCTTAGCTGCCCTCTGGGTCTGTAGTGGTTCTGGATTCACGTTTAGCTCACAAATCATTGTGCTTCAACTGTTGCGTGATAATTCAGTGCGTGCTCTTCCTCTGCAGCAAAAAGAAGGTAGTTTAGTTTCCCTCCCCATTGCTCTAATTAGCTCAGTTTTCACAGAACTTGAGTAGGGTGTTTGACAGGACACAATAACTTGTTTGTGTTGGAGGTCTGCTGATAAGTGGCTTTGGTGTTTAAGGACTTTTAATTGAGCACCAGATAAGAAAAGCTGATTTTTTTTCTTGATGCATTTTTACAGACCATAAGGCTTATGCAGCCTGACAGACAGGGATCCCTTTATGTTGAGGGTCAGCTTCTGCAAAAACAAATGGCTTTGCCTGTGTAAAGGCATCTGTTACATACCTAGGTGCAGTTTTCACCTTGTTTTTCAAGTGCTGTCTCAGAGTTTTAAGGAACTTCCCCTATATTGTGGTTTTTCAGCTGGCAATGTGTGAGTCGACTTGAATTTCTTACAGCAATCCTCCTTTTGTGTCAGGTGGAAGAAAAAAACCATTTGGGATAGAACTGATAAGTCTGTCTCAAACTTTGAATAGGGTCATTGGAAAGTGTCTTGGAAGGTACATGAATTGACTCAACCTTTCTCAGCAGGCCATAGGGAGTGATTTTAAAATTGCTTCACTTATTGCTGGAACTTAGAAATTTATGGTGCTAAAGGTGCTGAAGATACCTTGTGCCTTTTTGTATTTCAGCAGTGTCATTATTGTCAATCTCTTAAACGTGTGAATTATCTGAGAGTTGTGGGAAGGATCAGGTAAGTGAGCCTAGGGCCTTTGAAAGCTGAAAAGAACGTGGCTGGTGCTGTATAAGGGTGTCACAGCTGGATATTAGGATACATCTCTCCTGGAGCTCACTATGGGGCCTCAGCCTTGCAACCATGGCTCATCTCCTTCTCTACCCTCACCCCTGCCCTTTCTGGGCCAGCTTTCCATTCCCCCAAGCCCCATGCATCTGATCTCTCTATCTTTCTGTAATACTAGACTTCTAAGTATTCCCAGTTTTTTAGGAACGCTTAATTGAGAAAAAAGTTTGCAGACTTCTGAGTGTTTGTAAATTTTTCGAAATTATTCTACTGTAACCAGAAGTATGCTTTTCTTTCTTCTTTTAAAGGGATATTAAAGCTGGAAATATTCTTCTAACAGAACCAGGTCAAGTGAAACTAGCTGATTTTGGGTCTGCATCTATAGTCTCCCCTGCCAATTCTTTTGTGGGAACGCCTTACTGGTGAGTAAAACCTGCAGTACTTGGGTCCTTCATGAGACTGCTCACTTCCATTTCCAGCATTTCACAATCTGAAAATAATACCTGGCATAAAAACTTTGTTAACCAAGCAGTGCTCTTAAAATCCCTGCATCCAGCTCTTCAGGGGATGTGTTCTTCCTAGGTGCCCGTCAGTAGAGGCAGGCTGTGCAGCACGTGGAAATGGCACCACCAGTTCATGTTGTGACTGGTGCAGTGCCATTGCCTTAAAAATTATTAACACTTGCCAGAGGTAATGGAACTAAGACAACCTCATGGAGAAAGGGAATCCTGTTAATCTGGCCATGCAGACTGGAGGTCACACAGCTACTTAAATTCTGTTTTGAAGAAACTTGCCTAAGGGTCACTGGAGTTGCTTGGCATTCCTACCAGTGGACTGGCATAGCTTTATGCTCCACTTGCTCTGTGGCAGATGCCCCAGGCATTGATGGGAGGTCACCTATCGCCCAACCACTGAACAACTCCATTTGGCAGGAAGCCTGCTTCATCTTGGAAGAACAAAAGTTAAGAGGCTGAATTTTTTGCAGGCTGGGCCTGCTGCTGCTTTTCCCCCCACACTCATCCCTTTATCCTGGACCACCATGTTTCCCCACTGTTCTGGATTTCCCTGTTGCTTTCATAGCTACACTCACAGGCTGCATGTAGCTGCTGGAAAATTACCCTGGTGTGCCAAAGGCAAACCCTCCATCTCTGGTAAGAGAGTGCAAGTGATGTCTTTAGGACTCCCCCAGCCCTTGCCGTCTGCCTGCATGTACAATGCCTTTGAGATTGGTGGGGGTCTTCCCTGTGCCAACATGTTGTGCTAACAGCATGATTGGCCTCTTATTTACTTTCCTCTCTTAAACTGCCTCCTGGAAGAGCTGCTCTTGCAGGCAAGCTTTGTTTCATTTCAGCATGGCTTTACTCAGCTCCATGCTGGCTCTTTAAGCTCTGATCCAGTGTGCTGCTGAAGGTGGTAAAGCCCCATCTCGTTTTAAGCTCTGTTCTGGGAGTCACCGTTTATATCTCCTAACCTGCATGTTTGCACTCTGGTTGATAGGATGGCACCAGAGGTGATCCTTGCTATGGACGAGGGACAGTATGATGGAAAGGTGGATGTCTGGTCTCTTGGGATCACATGTATTGAGTTAGGTGAGTAACTATGTGGCAGTTGAGATGAATAATTAACTGTCTCCAATATGTATTAGGAAGTCCTGAAAAAATGGAAGATTCTTATTCCTCATAAGCTGTTTTGTTGGTTTGTTTTTTTTTCTTTAAAAAGCCTGACTTGGAAAAGCACTGACAGTTAAGTTAAATCTTTCCTCACTTGACAGATCAGAAGAAAGCCACTAAAGCTGCTGTGCTTTAATGTTAGTGTGGTGTGCTTGGTTACTAGAGGATTCAAGGCTTGTATGAGAGGGAACTGTGGTTTATAGTCTCTATTTTCAAGCTGGATTTTGAGAAAGTTGTTCCAGCTGTTCAAGGAAACCAGTGTCCTAAGAATTGTGGTGGAAGGGACCTGCATTTAATTTTCAGTTCTTGCTTCCCCACTCTTGGAAACAAAAATCTTCCATCTCAGCTGAAAGTTTGTGACACAAATCAACATGAACAGGCTCTTTACATGAGAGGAGAAGGGTTTGCATTGCAAAGGGCAAATGATACATGTCCACAGAACCTGAAGCAGGTGTGGATGTGATAGCAGGTATACAGAGCAGAGGTGTACACTTCAAGTTTGGCATTGCATGGGCCGAGCAGTTAATTTTCAAAGATAGTTTTGATATCAATTATACTTAACAGCAGTACATCAAGAACTTATTGTGAAAGGCAGTACATGCTGAAAATTTTATTTATGAATGTTATTTATGAATGTTGAATCAGCAGAAATGAGATACAAAGAAGGAGACATAGAGGATGGGAAAAAATGTTGACTCCAGTATGAAGATGGTAATGGTGTAGGTGACTAGTAAATTCCACTGTTGCATTTCATGTGCCAGTGCTAATGCCTTGCTGATGCAGTCTGTATTTTGATGTAAAAAATGCCAAAATCAGAAGTTTCAGACTTGTGTTCTTCTGCATGACCTCTGATTTTTTTTGAGGGGGAGGTTTGTGTGTTGTTTAGACGTGTTACAGCCTCTCAAGGAGTAGTTCATAGCAGTAGAATAGATATTATGCTACCCTGTGTAGGCACTGACTGTTGATACTGGAATTTCTATGGAGCTACTCAGTCAAGAACCTCAATGTCATTTTACACAGTTGGGTTTGATCTTTTAATGTTTAATACTTCTGAGAAGTATTAAACTTTTTTTTTAAAACTTTGAACTTTGCCTGTGCACGATTCCATATCTGAACATGGGATCGAGTAGCAGTGGGAGGAAATCTCTTGTTTAGCACCACTTGGCTTTCTTTCAATGCTGATGTCTTAATTTCACGTGTAGCCAAAAGTAAGTAGTATTTAAAGAGAAGAAAATGTGGTGGTTTGCATGCATGCTGCGTGTCAAGGAGCTGGTAGAGATTTGTCCTCTTGGTGCAAGGGCTAGGAAGAATTTCACTTAGGGGGAGTTATTGACACATCTGGCAAGTGAATTTGGCAAGCTCTCCTGCTTGCAGGGGACTGCTGGTGACCCATGGAGCAGCAGGCAGCCACCCTTTACCCTTAGTAGAGATGCTACAGCAGTGCATCAAAGGTCTGCAGGGACTGACACATGCATTTCCTAGCCCTGACCTGCTGTATGTCTAAGCTGTGGTGATTTTAACATCAAATTCTGCTGATTTTACCATAGCAGGTCAGGTGTGAAATGTTGCACTTAAGGTAAAATTTGCTGGAAAGTTCTCCTTATCACTTGCATTCTGTGGTCTTTGGATTTTGTCATCCCCTCTGCAAGTGAACAGCAGCTTTCCTCAAGTGGTTGTCCTGGTCTAGCCTAGAATATTCAAATAATTAGCTTGAATGTGATGACAACAGTCACGAGCTACTGATTTAGCAGTGATACCCTGGTCATACTTCTGTATCTTTCTCCTTTTCTTTCCAGACTGCCTTATCACACCTTTCTCTTCTCTTTCTAGCTGAAAGGAAGCCTCCGCTTTTCAACATGAATGCAATGAGTGCCTTATATCATATAGCCCAGAACGATTCCCCTACGTTACAGTCTAATGAATGGTAAGAGGCTTTGTTCTGGTTTCTTTCCCTGAAAATGCTCTGTGACACTCTCTGCATGGTTAAATCTGACAGAGGAGAGGTGTTTGTTGCACTGTAGGGATCTGACTGTGTTCTCAGCTAATGCTCCTGTGTGGGCAGGCTCAATTTGGACCTTCTGTCACTTTGCCTGTGCCACAATCTAAATGTGCGGAGGTGTTAATTATGGGGCTGTAGATGCTGGAGGAATTAAAATAGTCCTGGGTGCATTAAGCCAGCTGTAGCTCAGCCTCAAAGTTTCCAGCTGCAAAAGCTCCCTGACAGAAGAATTGTTAACCATTATAGTGCAGCTGAAACGTGGAGAAAGGGAGGAGAGAGGTATGCAGAACATAGAGGTAGTTAGATTTTCTTCAGTGAGTGACTTCAGAAGTCATCAGAGCTCTGTGGCCAGTAAACACTCCCCCAGTAAACACTACAGGCCTGTTCCACAGTCTGGGCTGGGGCACAGGAATGCTCTATTACCTTGTGGGAGCAAAGGGGTTACCCCAATTGCTGTTCTCTGCACCCACGAGTGGACTGCAGCTATCGAGTGGTGCTGGGCAGAGTCTGCAGATGGCTCGAAGCAGCAGCTCCCAGAGAGGTGTGAAGTTCCCTAATTACACTGCTAGGTGTGGAAGTACCATAATGGTTTCATTGCTGATCATTTTACCAAATACACTGCACTTCAGTTTCCTTACTTCATTGATTTGTCCATTTGTCAAGATTTGAAGAACTTGGTCTGATATCTGCAGACTAATAGTTGTGTTCTGTGTGGAATTTGCAATGCGGAGTAGAGACAGCTTGTGAATACAGTATAAGAATCAGGATTTTTGATGGCAAGTGATTTTAGATTCACCTCTTTGCTATCTCTGGCTTTGAGAACACAAGGAGTGAGCAAGGTGCCTTTTGTGCTGTTTTTTGAACCCACTGGCACCTAGATCAGTTTGCTTCTTTCCAGTCGTGAAACACCTCAAAGAGTTCAACAAAACTTTAGGCTCCAAGCATTGCATCTAGGGGCTTTACTGAGGCTGTGTTCCAAGTGGTGGGAAGCTTCTAGAGAGCAGAGAGGCATTTGATCAGCTAACTTGAGTGCTTCTCTGCAGTTACCAATAATTTGTTGTCACCTATTGTTAAGTAGTAGAAGTAAAATTGAAGGTAGTGACTGGTGCACATAGTTCTTGCATGGTTTTCAGTTTGTGGCTGGGGAGAAGGATGTTTCCATGTTTGTTTCAGCAGTCATTTGAGTGTTCAAAGAACTTCTGGGGTCAGCTTGCTCAGACTTTGGAAAAGTTCAGTTTATTTCTCTGCCCGAGAATTAAAAAACAAATTAGTCGAAGTTTCTTTTACTTTGCACCAAGTCTGCATATATTCCAGAGTCTAAGCTTCTTTTTCATTTAGAACTATTTTTTAATTTTTATTTACAGGTCAGACTCCTTTAGGGGATTCGTTGATTATTGCTTACAGAAAATACCTCAGGAAAGGCCGTCGTCAACAGACCTGTTACGGGTAAGTTCTCAAATCTTCTCCAGAAATTTGGGGAGAATCTGTTCCTCTACCAAAATAGTTCTAAAGATGGTGAACAAATATTTGCCCTTTAAAAAAAATAATTTTTTTTTTTTCTTGTCTGAATCAATCGAGTTTAGGGGTCTTCTAAAGAGTATTTTAGGCTGTTTAACTTTTTCCTGCCTGTTATGTCAGTCACAATTCTCTTTATTACAAGATGCTCAACAGTCAAACTGCTGGAGAAAAGTTAGAGGTAGGCTTTGTGGTGAAACATTGACACTGCTGAGTGAGGAGTTGTCTGGGGGAGCAGCTCAGCACCCTGGTCCTTGTACACCCCAGAGCTCTGCAGAGCTTATATTTGTGTTAGAGAACTTGCAAGCCTCGTGGGATAGCAGTGTGAGTAACAGGTTTTTTAGCTGGTGGAAGGACCTGTCAGCAGGAGGTGGATAGAAGGATTTAATCTTGATTTTTATTTTTTAATACTTTTTCATTCTTACAACAGTACTATACATACTTTAACTGGAAGTTAAAAGACAAACAGGTCCAGAGCTGGGTTAGTTAAATCTGTGCTGCAGAAGTGAATTCCAACCACGAGTTTTGTGTCTAGGCAGGACTTGGAGTGTATCTCTTACTGCTTTGATGAAGAAGGAATTTTCACCAGCCCCTCTGCTCTACTGTGCTGTCAGTAGGATGCCCTGAGGTGTGACCATGCTGCACCATGTGGTCTCTGAAAGAAGAAAAAGAAATGAGGGATGGAACTGGAGGCAACCCTCTTCATCCTCTATTTAGAGGCAGAGGGAGAGGGGAGGCTTGGTGCAGCTTGTATGAAAGCAAAGACTTTTTGGAGCAGTTATGCAGTTTTGTGTCAAGTAATGTAACTATTCACTTGCTGATGCTCCTTCTTTGGCTTTTTTTTCTGCTTACCTCCTCTAGGAAGGAAAAATGCTATTTCTCTGTTGTGGTACAGGCAATATGTGCTACCCAGCTTATCTGCAATTTCAACGAGATTTAAGGCTTGTGATTTGCTACAGGCTTTCTCTGTGGCAGTGATAGAAAGTCTAAGAAGCCATTTTAATTGCTGCTCAAAATCTAGACTTCAGCAGCCTTCATAAGATGCACAGGCAATAGCAAATCTTTTGCAGAGCTAATAGTACTTTGAGAATTATGCTCCACATGATCAGAGGATTGAGCTCTTAATGAAGATTTACAGATAGTGGCTGGTTATTTAAAAAGGAACGTGGGTATTAGAGATGGAAAGAGACTGGATGACTTCAGTTTAACTTATGCCTTATCTCCTGGCCAGAGCAGGACTATTTTTTGTTGGGTGCTCTGAACTGTCCTGTCTGTTTTTTTGACAGATGCAGATGAAGCTCAGGAAGGTTATATTGACCTTTTATCTCTAGTAATGCTAATGTGAGGATGATTAATTCTTTTATCTATTCATACCTTTTGAATATGTATCATCTTATGAGCTTTCTGCCTGATCTCAGATCAGCTTTTGGTTTGCTCTATTGTGAATCATTTGTTTGGGCCTTCCTGATCCATTTTTTTTAGTGTAAAGTTCCCCTGGCTGGGTGGGCATTTGTGGCACTGATGTTCATGTCATGAAGTGTTACTCCAGGTGTGGTTATGTGGGAGCTGGCAAAGGCTGGCTCTGCTCTGGCCTCTCACAGTAGGAGCTTTTGATGTTGTGTTCTTGTGACTGCTGTCTGGTGCACAAGTCCTGACAAATTTACTGATCTGTACCAACTATAGATCTCTCCTCATGTTATTACTTATCAAACATATTTTGCATCTATCTTTCAATCGTGTATTTCCGGACGTGGAAATTTTTTTCAGCTTCTCTCTGCAGTCAGGCAGTGTTGTATTTCTGTCTGTGGTTTTCATCTCCATTTACCAGTTATTTCTTTTGTACTAGATGGGTTTTGAGCAATTCCTCTTGAGTCATTAACATCTTGTAATGTGTTTGCTCCTTTCCTGTATTCATACATCATACTTAACTGTAAAAAGCAGAGCTAACAGGATAGGCCTAGGTTAACTTCTTCCCCTAATGAAACTGCCAAACCCCAAAGTTGTTTATATCCTTTAGTAGTTTCTATACTGAACTCAATTAATTAGAACCTGTTTTGGAAATAACTAAATCATTTTGGAAAGTGCCTTGTGTGGATTCCTGACTGCCAAGAGCTTGCAGGACCTGTGCTAGGAGTGATGTGTGCAGAACGTGCCAAAATTTTGTCAGTGAATCATAAATCAGTTCCAGTGTAAGTCATTTGGTTTCAGTTTACCTGAGAGGAATAGGAACTGCTTATACCTCTAAGGGCTTTGTCTTGGGGAAGTTCAGGAGCAGCCTTCTGTTAGAAGGTAGGGGTATGTGACATCCTGTCCAGCCCCTTCTCCATCAGGTGTGGGTTGCTTTTTAGTAAGTATTTCCTTTCTTTAAAGTTGATTGGTGGCCCTGCTCTTCCTCTGGTTGCCATAGGTAGCTGCTGGGGAGAATTGCATGGCATGCTGCTCTCCCACACTGGGTAAAGGGGACTCAGTTTTCCCTTACACCTTTGAGCAGAGGAGTCAGTAGCTCCGTTGGGTGTTTCGCCTCATTTCCACAGTAGGTTCAATTGCTGCTCTGTGTTTACCTGACAGCCTTTTCATGCTGATTTTTGTTCTAAGGCTACCACTCAGCCTTTGGTTTATGGCTTCTCTTGTTGCTCTTTCAGCTCAGTAAAATGCATTTGCATGGATGTTTCTGAGCCTTTTGGTTCTCGAAGAGAGACATCGAAACCCTGCGCTCCTCCCTGAACAGCTAGCTTTGTGCTCACTGCTGTCCTTGCTTTAAGCCTGGGCCACATAGAATATTTAACTCATGCCTTCACTCTCCAGGTAAAGGCTGATGAACGAGCTTGTTTGTACTCTCTCTTTGACACCTGGTGTATATATTTCATTTTTTTTTTTTTTTAAAACAAACCAGCGTTTTGTTCTCTGGTTCTGCTTGCAGCACCCTGACAATCCTTTGACCAGCTAATAGGTTTATGTTGTGGGTTGCAGAATGATTCATTCATGTGGATTGGCAGCCTTGCTGCTCTCTAGGAATAACATGAGTTCATTGAGGGATATGATCTCGTGAGTACCTTAGGTTGACGTCTGTGCAAACGATTGGAGCTGAGATCTTACTCTTAGTTCATGTATATTTGGGATTTCTATTTGGTTTTACACTTCAGAACAGTACCCTAGGTGTTCCCTCCTGCAGGAGCTCCCCCTAAAGCTTGTTAGATTATAAGATCAAAGACATTTTTTGTCTTTTGAGGGGTTTTGTGGCCACTATTTCCTAGAGAACTAAATTTTAAACGAGGTATTTTGAGAATGAATTCAGTTTTCCTTTCATTATCTCAGATAAAAACAGTTAAGTGACTGTAGTGATGTTAAAATGCAGTTGAGATAAAAAAGAAATAAACTCCCTAAATTATCTCACTAATATTTTTCACTTTAAAATTAAAAACAATCATAAAATGGGTTTTAAATACCTTTTGCCAATTTTTCTCAGCTTGCATGACATTCCCAGGAGGCTGGAGTTCTGTTAGTTGCTCTTCCAGCCAACTTGGTCCATGCCTTTAAGCTCTTCCTCCCTTTGAGTCCGTGCTGGTGATGATGTTTGCTTGTTTGGGTCTTTTTTCCTTGCAATTTGGAGAGAGCAGACAAATTAAGTCCTTTCAGCCATCATTTCTTACAGCTGCACAGGACCTGGCAGAGAGGTGCCTACATCTTTTATGTGCAATTTGGACAATTAGGTAATGCAAGTGAGGGAGCCAGAATTGTATTCTCAGTACACAAGAGCCTTTTGGTTTTAGCTTTGGTGCAACTGCCCAACAGTTTCCCTCTGGTGGTGTTCTGATATTTGAGCAGTGCTGGAATATGAAGCACACTGTCTTTCCAGTGAAATGAGTATTTGCACTGCTAAAGAATACATATGAACAGGTAGACACTGGACATACAGGATGGATTAAGCTCAAGATTGTTGTTCCAAATGCATTACTGCTTTCTACAACTTATCTACAAGGAGATGAAAATGGTCAGCTTTTTTCTGATTATAGATAAGCTGCAGATTGTTGCTGTTTACAGAGAAAATAAAGAGCATTTATTTGCATTGAGGAGCAGAAATGATTCATTTTTGTCTGAAATGTTTATAACTTTTTACTATAATTCAAAAATAAACACCATCACTACGAGCAAAAAAAAAAAAAGATAGTGAAATGACTGTTGTGCACAACAGTTTGGATTCAGTTAAAACCAAGAAATAAGCCTGTGGCATGATAGTGTCCAAGTTCATTTATAAATCATTAAAAGAGCATCAGCTCATCCTGTCAGCTTTTTTGTACATAAGACTCCTGTTTTAAGGAGGACTGGATTCCATGTGTTGATTACTCCAGCTATTGGATGTATTAGTTCTGGAACTTGAGGAATGTTGTCACATCTAGGGTGGGGACACTTTTCCTTGTCCTATGGGACCCTGAGTTCACCAGGTGTGGAAAGAGCTGTGAGACCAAGTGGGCAGATGGGACCCTCTGGAGAATTTCTGGGCAGCTGAGGTCAAGCTGTTGAGGCCTCTCTAAAGGCCATTGTGGCATTTGCAATACAGGGCAGTGGAGAACAACCTTCTTCCAGTTTCTCTCTTTCATTGCTAATGTTTCTAGAAACGTGAGGAAGATGTTGATCCCTTCAGGCCATCTCCCATGGTGCACACTAAGCAATGTATCCAAGTGTAGTAAGCCCATATAAAATACTGGGAGGCATACAGGCTGTCTGCTTTAGTCAAAGCCTAAATGGGAAAGCTGCAAGGCTTTCACACTCCACTGCCAGCTGTGCAGCTCGGGGGATTCTATCTGTTAAGTCAGAGAAGAGCTTTTAATCATACACTTCTACGGTGTGCCCAGGTGGTCAAGAAGGCCACCAGCATCCTGGCTTAGATCAGCACTAGTGTGGCCAGTAGGACTAGTGCAGGGATCGTCCCCCCTGGACTTGGCACTGCTTAGGCCACCCCTTGAATCCTGGGGTCAGTTTTGGGCCTCTTACTCCAAAAAGGACCTTGAGGGGCTGGAGCATGTCTGGAGAAGGGCAATGAAGCTGGGAAAGGGTCTAGAGCACAAATCTGGTGAAGAGCAGCTGAGGGACCTGGGGGTGCTGAGCCTGGAGCAAAGGAGGCTCAGGGGAGACCTTGTGGCCCTCTATAATTCCCTGAAAGGAGGTTGGTGCGAGTTAGGGGTCAAGCTCTTCTCCCAATGAACAAGCAATAGGACAAGAAAAAATGGCCTCAGGTTGCACCAGTGGTGGTTGAGGTTGGACATGAGGAACAGTTTCTTCCCCTCCAGGGCTGTGCCAGGCTGCCCAGGGCAGTGGTGGAGTCCCCATCCCTGGAGGGGTTTCCAAGCTGTGGAGATGTGGTGCTGAGGGATGTGGTTTAGTGGTGACCTGGCAGTGCTGGGTGAACAGTTTGACTTGATGATCTTAAAGGTCTGCTATAGCCCAAAGAAATCTATGATTTTATGGAATTCCATTGAAGAATTGATTGTGAAGCCTTCACTTAAAACCTGTGCTCCTAGTACCTGCTTAGCAGGAGTTGGTAAGAGCATGATTTTACTCTGACTCTACCTACTAATGTTTTGGGTATAAAACTCCCACACCTTTGCAGTTTCCTTACTGCTTTTCTGTATGAATTGGAATAGATGCAGGGCAAGCTTTGGCAGGGAGGGCTTGCACAACCAGGATTGCTTCTGCTTTGCCCTTCATGCATTTAGTGCACTCTGAAGCCCTATGCCTTTTTGAGCGTTGACGTGGCACGGTCATGTACCTAGTATGCTTCAAGTGGAGAAGCTCAGGGACAATCAACTGCCATACCTGGAGAGCTGAGAAAGCCTGACTCTGGTCCAAACTGTTTCACTCGAGACAGAAAAGTGAATCAGGGAGTCAGGGCCAAAGAGAAGAGCTTGCCACAGGTCAGCCAGGGCTCGCCCCTCTCCATCCACCACCAGCTCCTCCTGCTGTGGCCGTCCTGGTGGGCATCCATGCATTCACGCGTGGCTTTCAGGTAGCAAAGGGGTTTTGCTGTGCTTCCCCCTCCTCTAGGTTGGGAGCTCCATGGTGAAGCAGGTCTTCTGACCCAAACATTGTGCAGCCTGTGCTTCAGCACTCCGTGCCTGGTGTGAGCAGCCTGGTGGTCTGATGTAGGGATGGGCACAGCCCGTCTGCGTGTTGCTGCGTGTGTTTGGAGCCTCTGATAACAGGCATTGCTGGCTGTTGAGTGTGAACAGGCCCTTTGCTGAGGATGAGCTGTCACTTCAGGTGTCTCAGGAAAGCCTGTCCACGTCTGTAAACCAGACATACTGGTGTCGTGTCTGAAACCTCCTGTTTTATTTCCTTCCCTCCAGCACGACTTTGTCCGGCGGGAGCGGCCCCCGAGGGTGCTGCTAGACCTGATCCAGAGGACCAAGGACGCGGTGCGGGAGCTGGACAACCTCCAGTACCGGAAGATGAAGAAGATCCTTTTCCAGGAGACACGCAATGGGCCGCTGGCCGAGTCCCAGGAGGAGGAGGAGGTACTCTTCTTGCCTTACCCTACATGCACTGCTACAGATCATTTCAGGCCCCTTTAAGGGGGGGCAGAACAAGCACGGCCTAGGTGAGGATTCGATCCACGGTGGTGGAGTATCATCTGGATCAGCAGAGATAGGATAACAGGTAGTAGTAGCACTTACTCAACGTTTGATGTGCATTTATTGGTAGTTTTAAAACTTGGCCTTTTTTTTCACATGGTGGCCTTTCTTCTGAATGATTTAGAGAAGAAACCCCTTTGGAGGGAGATGCTTTCTGAGAAGAAAGTGGCTGTGTGTGTGTGAAGGAGGGTCTGTTGGCAGTCCAAGCTTTTCTCTCTTAAACACAGCCAAGTTATTGATTAATGTTAACATTTTCTTTCAATTACCGTAACTTTTCTGTAAGGTAATTGGCCTATCATGAGCTGAAAAGCAAATCACCAAGTTAATAAGACTTATTTTTTTTAATTCTTTTATGTTAAAGAAGAAAAATGTTAGATATAAAATCCGGCTTCAGCTTAAGTCTCGCAATAAACAATCCACTTAATCAGTATAGATAATTGACACTGACTGTAGGCTTAGAGAATGAAACCAGTCATCTTTCAATTGATGAGCTTAGATGGAAATTAATGTCATTTGGTGCAGGCACATTGGATAAATAAGTTCATGACTGATTCTCCGTGAAAAAAAATTGACAGGCAAGTTGATATTTGTATTCCGTTTTGCTGCAGTGTAGCCAGATAATACACAGTGAGGTGCCCAAGCTCAGCATATGTTCAAGGACTTGTTTTTGAGGTTTGTGTATGCCAAATGTTCCTTTAAAGCTGCAGGAGAGCTCTGGCTAAGGGGTGGGTGAGCCTGGGTGTCAGGCAGGAGAGCACACAGGAGGAGGGGACTGTCACGCAGCACTCTCCTTTGCTTGGAAGGTGATGCACAGGAGAAGCAAGAACAGCAACCATTGTGCTTAAAGCTACCAAGTGTTCTGTTCTAGCCCTCCAGCTAGCCAGCTTCTAAACCTTGAGCTTCCCTGCAGGGCAGGGGGGTTGTCAGGCTGAAACCTTCAGGCTTGCTCTGGCCACGTGTGGAAAAGCTGTTCACAGAGCAACAGAGCAGGGAAGCACAAGGGGATGGGTTTCCTATTTGTCTGTTCAGCA